CTCTCTTGAGGGGACATCCTCAAGACCTTATTAATATCCCCTTTATTAATTTCCTATCTTCCACTTATACACTTCGATCAGGTCTCCCCTCATTCTTCGTCTAACAAGTGAATGTAATTTAAGAGTCTTCAATCTTTCTTCATAAGGAAGATTTTAATGCTATGTATTAATTTAGTCATCTTACGCTGAATGTTTTCTAACGAATTATGTCATTCTGTAATTGGAGACCAGAACTGAGCTGCATAATCTAGGTGAGGCCTTATTAAAGATGTATAAGCTGCAGTTGGGCTCTGGACTTCTGTTGCTTACACTTCTTGATATAAATCCCAGTAATCTATTTGCCTTATTACGTACGCTTAGGCATTGCTGTCTTGGTTTAAGGTTGCTGCACCCATAACCCCCAAGTCCTTTTCGCAATTGTATGGCTAAGTTCTACATCATTTAACTTACAGTACTAGAGTTATGGCACTCCCAGCTTCAGAACCTTGCATTTATCTACATTGAAACTGCATCTGCCACTTTTCTGACCAAGAATAGTTTGTTTAAATCCCCCTGAAGTTCCATAACATAACAGCCACCAGGCCCGGTGGCCTGGTGGCTAAAGCTCCCGCTTCACACCGGTAAACTCCAGGTAAACTCCGGGGAGGGCCCGGGTTCGATTCCGGCGGGTGGAAAATTTCGAAAAGTTTCCTTACACCTGTTGTCTGCTCACCTAGCAGCAAATAGGTACCTGGGTGTTAGTCGATGGTGTGGGTCGATCCTGGGGGACAAGTTAAGGCCCCCAATGGAAAAAGTTAGACAGTCCTCGATGACGCACTGACTTTCTTGGGTTATCCTGGGTGGCTAACCTCCGGGGTTAAAAATTTTGAACGAAATCTTATCTTACTTTCTTTGTGTCATCGGCGAATTTGCTCATATCACTAGTAATTTCCCTCATCAAGATCATTGATATATATTATAAAACAACAACGGGCCCAAGACTGATCCTGTGGAACGCCACTTGTTACAGATCCCCACTAGGATTTAACCCCATTTATGGACTCTCTGCTTCCTGTCAGTGAGCCCTGACTCGATCCACGAGAGCACTTTCCCCCAATGCCATGGCGCCACTTTCTTTAACAGTCTATGGTGCGGAACTCTATCAAAAGCTTACTAAAATCTAAGTAAATAATATCAAATCTTTATCGTGGTCAACAGCCTCAAAACTTTTACTGAAAGAAAGTTAATAAATTAGTTAGACAAGACCGGCCTCTTGTGAATCCATGCTGAGTATCATTAATCATCAAGCTATTTCTTATCGAGAGGCTTCTTATAATCTCAGCTATAATTGACTCTAGTAATTTGCCTACAATTGAGGTCAGGCTTATTGGGCGGTAATTTGGGCGGTAAAAGACTTGTCCCCCCTTTTAAAAATAGGAATTACATTAGCCATCTTCCCCATATCAGACACTACACCTGTTTGGAAGAGATAAATTAAAAATATTAGTTAAGGTTCACAGAGTTCCATTTTGCATTCCCTTTAAGAACCCTTGAAAAAACCTCGTCAGGACCCGGCGACTTATTTTGCTTCAGTCTGTCTATCTGCTTCACAACCATTTCAAATAGTGACTGTGATGTTACATAATTTATCTTCTAGCCCCCTATAAAAAATTAATTACTGGAATATTGTTAGTGTCTTCCTGTGTAAAAACTGGAAAATAATTATTAAAATCGAGCACATTTCATTCTCTTTGTCAGTAAGGTGCCCATAGTTATTTTTAAGGGGACCTATCTTATCTCTAACTTTTGTTCTTAGGCCTGGGAAAAACTTTTTGGGTTAGTTTTAGAATCCCTAGCAACTTTAATTTTTATAGTCCCTTAGCTTTTTTATCCCCTTTTTAATGTCCTCTTAATGTCAATATACTGATTCATAAAATGACCCCCACCTCTTTTGATACGCCTATTAAATTCTTTCTTATGCCCTAGTGATATTTGAGCCTATTATTCATCCATTTTTGGGGCTTTCAGATTTAATTTTTTTTATGGGATAAAGTTCTTTTGAGC